CACGGTGATAATTACATAGCGCGCATCATTTAATATCGCGCATATACTTCTCAAATTCTCATGGGATCCTTTAAAAGAACGCGCGGTCTCCCATTAATTTGCGGGAATGGGGCAAGCGGTATTTTGCTGATGGCCTACAACGATATCCTAGCCAAGTGCAGCCGCCCTTATTCATCGCGACCAGTGAGTCTATAGTTCGGACAATGAGGACGAGACGGGGAATATTTACCGTACGAATCGACTGTCATCAATGGTCCGGTGCGAGACGCGCATCTAAAATCGCTCTCGTCATCAACAAGATTAATCAATTTAACTTGATTCGAGTATTAAAAAAAGTAAATAAATCTAATGATATGCAATTATATAAATTTTCACTTCGTTTAGTATGAACCATTAACACAAACCTACTATAATACTTATTTATATATCACATCATTAATCTTAAAGTATTCATTAAACGACTATACATTTTCTTGCTGACGAACATCAACAATTTTATTTCATTTTTTTCTGAAAAATAAATGAGAAAGAATAAATATTGAACAGGAAAAGGGAAAATAAGAGAGGTGTTTGGTGTGTGTTGGTTGGTGGTTGCTTGGTGGTGGTTATGGGATGGAAAAGCCTAATAAAAAAGTCCGTAGGACTCTCAGCGGAATTATTGCTCCTTGAATTCCGCTAAATTGGGATTCCGTTGGAAGGCAATCGGCCCGGAAAAAGAAGCTCTCGTCGATAAGAAACGATGGTCCTCGACGAATATGGCCGTGGTCCCGTATTTATTCGTGAAAGAAAGAGAGATCGAGAGGGAGAACGAGAGAGAGAGAGAGAGAGAGAGAGAGAGAGAGAAAGAGAGAAAGAAAGAGAGAGTAATAGTAGTAGGAGGGAAACGACGTTTGCGTTTTTCGCCAAACTCAGCCTTAACCCTCGCGTTTCGCATAGCAGTTGGCAATGTTCCCATGGAAAAAGCTTGTCGAAACTTTGAACTCGATCGAAGGAAGAAATGATCGCGAGAAAATCGGGCGTAAAACTCGCACGAGCTGTCGTTGAGAATGTGTCTAGGTTCGTGTCTCCGTTTACATTATATAAGTACCTGTATGAATGAATACATATATGTATGTAGATATTTATATGGGATACCAGCTGAATAATATTGAAACGATGTGGGATCTTTTGGCGTTATAAAGCTGGAATTAAAAGATATATTTAAATCTCTAAAGGAAGTGTGTTAGGGAAGACCAAATGGCAAGGCAAATGTTCTTGGGTCGAATTTTTAATAAAATATTTAAAGTGGACTTAAAAGTATAGAAATTCATATTAGAGATATTTTAATCGTATATAAATATCTATATTAGATTTATATATTTCATTATATTATTTTATTGATCTTTTTTTTTTATTATATATTTTTTTTTTTTTTTTTAATTATAATATACTACAATAAATTACAAATCAGTGATAATTGAATATTAGATAAATATCTAAAATAACAATACAGACTTCGATAATTTGATTAGCAATTATAACGAAATTATTGAATATTTTAACTTACAAATCTCGTTATTAACATGAGAGGATAATATATGTATGTACTTGTACAATAGAAAATTTGTTCGATAGAACCGATAGAAGTTTTGATGGAAAATCTAAAATTTCATACACACACGCAAGCGCGCACGAACATACATACACACACACACACACACACGTGTATACTATATTAAATTTATATATTTCATTCTATTCTTTATTGATCTGTTTATTTACAAATACCATTATTATTCATCAATAATAACTAGACGTTAAATATCTTGAACAAATATATCGATCGTTTAAACTTCGATAATTTTATTAGCAACAATAACGAAAATTATTGAATATCCTACCGTACAAATCTGTTATTAACAGAAGATAATATACATATGTAACAGAAAATTTGGTCGATAGAACTGACAGACGTTTCGGCGGGAAATTTAAAATTTACGCACAGGCACGGAAAAATATCACATGTGTGCATACGTACGTTATAATAAAAAAAAAAAAAAAAAAATTAGAAATACGAATAAAGACACGGAATGAAACCACAGGAGTTTCGTTGTTTAATTTAATTACCCGTTAATTCGAAACAGGTCTGCAGCCGAAAGATAACACGGGCAGAGGATATTTAAGTGCTTTCCAGCGATATGCCATCCAAAAAATAAAAAAGAAAGAAAAACAAAATTAAAAAAAAGAGAAGTATTACCAAATCGATCATCGTTGCGGGACGAGGGGAAAAGGGTGAAGATTGGAAAAGGCTTGAACAAGAGGGGTCAGTTAATCAGACCATTCGTTACAGCTGTCAGTTACACGTTTCATGCCGAAACGCAATCCTGTCGGTGAAATTCTTTCGTGCGACGATTGAAGTCGTGTCACGTGCGCGTCAACGAAAACGCCGCCAGAAATTTCCGCCACCACACCGGAAAAATAAAAGATAAAAGAAATAGAGAGGAAAATTCGACCGCAATAATTATATTCGTTACCATCCTTGTTCGATCGTTTGTTTTAGTCATGGGAACGATAATTTTATGTGACAAATTGTTTTTCCGATCGAATTATTACGTAAACTCGACGTTTTCCTCGTTTCTATAGTTAACAGTATTATTTTCTTTCATAATTCTGATCAACTACTGATTTCCTTCTCTATTTCTCTCTCTCCCTCTCTCTCTCTCTCTCACTTTCTCTCTCGTATAGACGTTTATCTCTAATTAACGATCTGGTTAACAATAAGCTAATTAAACTCCTACACAACAAGTTATTGGCTCGATAGACGTATTTACAATAGTTTTCCTTAACAATGAGTTACGTTTCGATTGCTTAACCTCTAATGTAAACTTTCCTCTCTCACTATTTCTCTATGTGTATATATATATATATATATATATATATATATATATATATGTATGTATATATTTGTGTATAATATGTATGTATATATATATATATATATATGTATGTATATATTTGTGTATAATATGTATGTATATATATATATATATGTATGTATATATATATTTTTCTAATTCCCTGTTTCCATGATGCATCAGTTTCAAGAGATATGTTACAGGCTTCTATCCATATCTAACAGATCAAACTTTCCTTAAATCAACACCCGATAAATCATGTTCGACGGTCTTGTCCGAAATGGTCTGAAACTTTGTCGGTGATCTCTGGTTTACTATCTTACTAGTCGATAAATTATTTCGAATGGCAACTAGGAAAGTGCATGCAACGTTAACCTAGAAACTTCCTTCGTTCGAAGATCAATTTCAGTGATTTATACCTTCATTTATGATTATTGTTCTTGTCCTGTCTTGTTGAACGATATATATATATATATATATATATATATATATATATGTGTACATTTATATAAATTAATTCATATTAAAAAAAAAAAAATAAATAATTAAGGTCGATCGTTGATTTCTCTATTGTGTTCCAAACAATGATAATATTTAAAAGCGCTCTTATTACCATTAGTATAACTATCAAATAATTAAATAGATATCAAAAGATATCAAAGATATATCAAATATTTTAAAGGGTATATATTTTAAAGAGTATATATTATAAAACTCTTAATCAGTATATAATTTCACAAAAATTTTTACGATTTTCGTTCAATCTAGATGAAATTTTTATAATTGCTATTTATGATCTGACATAAAATTTAGACTGCTTAATTTGTGGAATTATTAGCTATAAAATAAGCTACAAGAATTTAAATGAATAAGACAGAGAGAGAAAGAGAATGTCGATATACGACCAACGTGATAGGGAGAAAGAGAAAAAGAAAAAATTGTAGAATTAGACTAAAAAGGCATTGATTAAATAATTTGTGATCTGCGTTCCGTGTTTCGTACTTTGTGAACACATATTCCTTGTTCTAATGGTGCAATAATAATATGTTTTCTTCGGATCTGGCGATTTGGGTTTAAAATTCAAATGCGGAAGAAAATATTATTTTCTTACTTCCAGTTGTTCTCGATCTTCCGATAAACAGATGGTACCTTAAGCATACTTTTGCATTTTCTGAATCAATGGAAAATAGAGCTCGAACAGTCGAAAAACTTTTATTTTGAGTTTCAAATATATCATACACAACATCACATATGATCTGAATGCTTGATATATTACTTAAAAAAAAAAATATAAAAGAGTTTTTTTAAACCTGTTGACGCACACGTGCGTTCCTCAATTGTTCACTATACTTTTACAGAATTATATATTACTATTAGAAATATCTGCCCTTGGGAACTTGTTGGATATTCGCCAAAAAAACGCATAAATAAAAAACATAATAAATTGCCATTTTTGCCCGAGCTTAGGTATTTTTGGTCAAGTATCTAGTTTTTAATAATGTATCATAAATAGTAAAAGTAGACGTCTAGGCACGACGAGCCAAGGGGGTTGTCTAGCGTCTAGCCTTAAAATATCCATTGACACCCTCTAATTTACACGATCACTAGAACAAAGGGGCATACATGGAACGTTCAAACATTCCAATGAACTATCTTAACCCATTCCCAACTAAGAGACATCCATGCTCAGATCATACTTTAACTCCGTCCTTTTTATTCTCTTTCCTAATCTTACTTAATCTTACAGTCTTCAATTCTAAAGACACTAAAAAATTAGTCAAATTACATCTTTCAGACTTACGACATGTAGACTCTCGAGTCTTATTAAATATTAGTGGCTATCACTCCTTCAGAAATAGCCAGTACAACTAACTACACATCATTACACGAAACATATCAATAATTGTATCTTATTTCAATAAATATATTGTGATAGCTTCAATTCGTGCAATATTTATTATCGCGTATCTATCTCGCAAATTTCACGGGATTCTTTAAAAAAACGCGCTTAATTTGCGAGAATGTGGTATTTTGCTGACAGCCTTCAACGGTATCCTAGCCCTTATTTATCGCGACCAATGGGTCTGTAACTCTGACGATAAGGAAGAGACGAGGGAAATTCTTTGTGTAAATTGATTATCATTGCTGGTCCAGTGCGAAACGCGTATCTGGAAACGTTCTCGTAGTTTCGCCCTCACGACGCAACAAAATTTTAGTCCTTCGAGCCGGATTCTGGCGACACTGATCCTATAAGCAGCCTAAGGAGAAGCCAAATTACTACGTAAGGGAATGAAGTAGCCGTCTCACGAGATCACTTATCCTTTACAACGAAATACCAGACGATCAACGAGCCGTCGAAAGTTGCAGCGAAAAGACCTGTAGCCTTCGGACTCATCAACTTGGTAACACTACACCTCTCAAGTAAGGTCGTTTATTTTTTGAGCTTCATCTTTTCCTATTCTTCTCTACAATAGAAGCCTTTGCCTGCAGAAAGCTTAAATAAATTGAAGCGTAAGCGTGGAACTTTCAAAAGTTAATTAACGCGTTTTAAAAACACATTTGAAAAATGTCGAGATAATGGAGACGTAGATTATCTAAAGTCAAAAATTACTCATATAAAGGAAACCTTCACTAGTTTTGATGAAATTTAAGATACATTATTAAGATACCTCCCAAATGCGGAGACTTATTTAGATGAAAAACTTGATATTGAGGATGATTACGTAGAGACACTGTCAATTGCACAAAGATTAATAAGAGAAGCAGGACCGTAACATGCGAGGTACCATGCGTTCAATCGGAGACAGAATCTACAACGCGATTATTATCTACTAATTTAAACTTAATTGAATTACAAATTTCATTGCCTACTTTCAGCAGTCAACATGATGGCCCGCTTTTGCGAATCAATTCAAATCGGCCATTCATGACAATTGAACTCTAGACAACTGTAATTGGTTAAACTATCTGAAGTCGTGCTTACAGGGTGAATCCGCGTTAATCATCTTATCTATAGACATTACTGTGTCCAATTATGTGTTTGCTTGGTCAATGTTGGATGAGTATTATAATCTGCCACACCTAATAGTAGAAAAGCATTTAAAGACGATTTGCGACTTGCCAAAAATACAAAAGACATTATATCCTGAGCTAGCTTCGTAAGCACTGGATCCCCGATCGAGTGGATCTTCCAGGATCAATTTTTAAAATTTTTACATGAAAGAAGAAACTCACTTCTATAGATACACTCAAGTTAACACGCAAAAACCTGTTAACACGCAAAAACAGGTCACCGCGGCTGACAAAAATTTTCCGACGCAGATTAAACGCAGAGATTATCTGAGCTTCGAAGTACTCAGACAAGTTATCAAAATCGTATAAATGAATGCGACGACCGTGGACATGATTTGTACTGTATGTGGAGCGAATCATTACACATTCAAATGTCGTAAGTTAATCGAAGCAACGATCAAGCAATGTCGCGAAATAGTCGAAAAGGCAAAACTTTGCCAAAATTGCCTCCGTGCGAATCACGATGCGAGCAAATGCAAATCCGGGATTTGTAAACGATGCGATCTCCCACATCATACCTCACTTCATAACGAAACTACGCCTTTGGAATCAATAGTATCAAACATAGTTAGATTTCCCGCTGTGAATTTTTATCAACGGCCGTAGTCCAATTTCAGAACGCCAATCGTACCAGCAATTGTCGAATGTTGATAAACTTCGAATCTGAGGTCCATCTTATATCCGAAAATATGGCAAACAAATTGAATCTTTGGCAGAAACACGTTAACGTTCCAGTCCACGGATTGTACCATGATAAAGTTGTTCGAGGTTCGACGAAAGTGCGTCTTCAATCATTGAAAACCAAGTTTTCGGAAAAAATAGATTATCTCGTATCACCCAATTTATATCAAACGTTACCCGCACGTAATGTAGACCTGAATAAGTTAGAGATTCCGTCAGCACTCAAGTTGGTGGATCCATAATTTCACAAGTCTGCTCCTATTGACGCTATCATTGACGTTCAGCTAGTTCACAATTTAGCATGAACTAGAATCTCGCTTCTTAATAACTCAGCTTCATTATTAAAAACTAAACTCGGTTGGACGGTTTCATGTGATATGAGAAAAGCCTCGCGTCGCATGCAATCAATCAATTAATACATCGCGAAATACAAACTCTTAGAAATCGAATTTTCCTCAGAAACGTTTCTTTCCTTTAAAGGAAACAAGAACAAAAAAGATAAAACCCGATTCAAACGATATAAAGGCTGAACTAAGAAATAACACTAAGCGACTCTTCGAAGAAAAGCGCGAGAGTTTAAACTCTAATATTCGTAAAGGCATTTATTAACAGAAAACTTATTGTTAGTGTGAGACAGAAATACTTTGATATTTCGCTAAAATATAGCGAATCATATTATATATGCGAAACTTACGATCAAGCTATCCATTGATACGTTCTTTGCTTCAAATATCGCAAAAGACCGTTGACACAGGGATTTATACCCCATTTTCGATCCAAATCACCTCAAAATATTGTATTGTGTCAAAGATGTTTGATGCAGGGACTTATGCCCCCTCATCGCATCATACAAAAATTCGACGCAAGGACTCGTTAGCTCAAACTTCTAATTGATAGAACTAAAAAATTTGAGCGCGTCGAACATTGAAATAGCGAAAATCCTTATTTAAGCAGCGAAGCTATCCGATAACATTCGTTTTATCTGGAATGATACTTCGGTCAATGAGAGGTCAATGAGAGGACATTTTTTATGTATATGTGAGTGAAACATTCCTCACCTACGAGAAACTTCACACATACGCCCAGAAGCAAATCTTACCATCCGCCTTCTCCCTCTGACTTCGATCAGTCTTGACGCTTTATCTTATTCGATCCTACTCACTTCTTCCATTGGAAGCTCTATAATAAGCGCAATTGAACCGTATGTACGCAGGTGCCAACATCCTGATTCTTTACATGACAATGAAATCAAAAATTAAAGCAAGATTTGAAAACGTTAGCACGAGAATCAACAATATGAAGGAGATGGAATCAAGATGGAGCAGAAGGCTACCAGGTCGGCATGCTCATGTACTGAAAAGAAGACAACACCTTGCATATGCGATACATTCTAAACACGTCATCACGACCCATCCTGTCGGTTGCATAGCAATGGTTCGAGCAGTTACAGAAACGCACGAGCGAAGCAGTAGGGGCCTTGCACCGCTGTTTTTCAAGACGGACTAGATTCACTCCTTTAATTGATTATAAATTTTATTTCCTACTTGATCAACTCAAATGGCGTATGAATGTAATTATCTTATAAGTTCAATACATGTTAGCTTATAAGTCATGTATACTGTATACCCAACATTCGTACATGTACACTGTCATATTCAAATCAACGCACACTACATCTTAACGAATTTCAAAGTATATTTTTACTCTTCTTTGTTTGAACGCTGACCATTCAAGGGTGCCGGTATGTTGACACACACACGCATCCCTCAATTATTTACAGTACTTTCTCCTAATGATCATATATCATTATTAGAAATATTTGCTCTTAGATACTCGTTAAGAAAATGCGTAGATAAATAACACATTGCCACTTTTGTCCGAGTTTAGCTATTTTTGGTCAAGTACTTAGTATTTAATTATGTGTCGAGTCGGATAATAAATAAATAGTAAAAATAGACCCCTAAGAGCGACGAGCCAAGGGTTGTCTGGCCGCCTAGCCTTGAAATATCCATTGATCTCGTAGTTGCACCCTTACGACGCAACAAAACCTTAACAATCTGTTATGCTTTACTAGGAGATATATTAGTTATTAATATAAAATCCTGAATCTAATGTATTTATAATTTATCTGTAACTCGTACTATTTTTGTCCAATTCAAATGAAATTTAATTAAGTTGCTCCGAAGGAAAGATCAAGCAACTGAATTTTTAATGATATCCCTGATAAATAAATTAAAAAATAAAATCAATTTTTCAATATATCTCATTTTAAATGGAGAATTACCGGAGATCAACTTGAAATTATCAAACAGTTCAAATAGATTTAATTTAAATGTTAAATATCTTACAAATAAAAATCTAATGCACATGATTGCATTATTAAACATTAACTATACAATTCAAGATATCTCTGTGTTTCTCATTACTTTCCTATAACTACAATACAGCTTTATTTTAACTATGACGTCATGTTTGACGTCGTGAAAATATAGATACATACCAACCAGCATACATATCTATATATATATATATATATATATATATATATATATATATATATACATATTTATATTAAACAAATCATAAAAAACATGCTTTACACGAAGATTGGAGAATGCAGAGCCACTCGACGAATATTCAAGAACTTTTCATGAATATCCGATGGTTGGGATGTACCTTTCGAGGATTTGTGTAAATCGAGTCATGCGCATTGCTATGCACGTACACTGTAAGAACATATCGATATATCAAGGTAGATATGGGACACGTATGTAATGTATTAGAAATAACAAGGAGAGTTGCAATTCTTATTCCTACAAACGCTAATACATTGCCATTCCTGCGATTTGTATAGTTCACAATAGGACACCTTTCTCTCTCTCTCTCTTTCTTTTTCTGTTTCTCTTTCTCTTCAGCTACCTCTATTTCTCTCTCTCTCTCTCTCTCTCTCTTTCTCTTTCTGTTTCTCTTTCTCTTCAGCTACCTCTATTTCTCTCTCTCTCTCTCTCTCTCTCTCTCTCTCTTTCTGTTTCTCTTTCTCTTTAGCTATCTCTATTCCTCTCTCTCTTTTTCTCTTTCTCTTTAGCTACCTCTATCTCTATCTCTTTCTCTCGCACTCTCTCGCTCGCTTTCTATCTCTCATTCTACGTTTTGTCTAGCATTATCCATCTTATGTCTAGCTTCAGTCTCGAGTGCAGTTGTCAATCTCGTTGATCTTGTCCGATCGATCGATTTCGACGTTTTATGTAGACGTTCATTTTTCTTTTTTTTCATCTTTCTTTTTCTTCTTCTTAGAAGCTTCTATCTTGCGATTAGGACAATCTCTTTACTCACTAGCAACAACCTTCCCTCTTTCTAGAATTCTTCCTTGTTTCTTGTTTCCTATTTTATGCAGCATCCTGCGAAATGCTACATCGTAAATCCATCGTGACTTTTATCCGACGCTTGAATTTCTCCGTATACGGTGAACCTAACAAGAAACGATCTCGTGCTTGATCATTTTACAAAAATTTTCTAGTAATCCGTATTTGATGGATCTTTATTTTACGAATTTAAATAAAAGAAACATATTATTTCGTCTTTTATTATGACTTGTCTATATTTCGTCTATAATTATGATTTTATAAAATAGCATGTTTTTAATATGTTTAAAATAATTTAATTTTCTTCTAAATAAGGTGAAACCAATATATATCGTAGAAGTGATTCCAATTTATGTTTAAAGAAGAATTATATTTATTATTCATAAATCTTTTATTGACGCACACATGCACAACCTCAGATATTTACAGTACTTTCTTCTAAGAGTATGTTAACGCACGTGTGCAACCTCAGGTATTTATAGTATTTTATTCTAAAAGCGACATATCCTTATTGGGCACATCTGTCTTTGGGAATTCCTTGGATAATAACTAAAAAAATGAGTCATTTCCCTTTCCTAATTTATTAATGCCTTCATGGATAGTCCGAGAAAGATCTACAGACAGTCGCATCAAAGTATTCGCACTTACAATTAAGACAGCCAAGTCTTACCAATGTTACTGGCTATGTCTCAAACGAAGATATTTAGCACAAACTAAATCATATTAATTAACCTATATCCTTCGGACTCGCATCATTCAGACTTCTGAGTTTTATTAAACATTACTGGCAATCACTTTTTCAGAAATAGTCACCACAACTAATTACACATTATTCCACAAGAATACCAACATAACAAATATACTGTCATAGCTTCAATATTTATTATCGCGCATCTAATTCATGAGCTCCATGGGATCCTTCAAAAAAATTCGCATTCTCCCATTAATCTGCGGGAACCCGACGAGCGGTATTTTGCTGACGCCCTTTAATGGTATCCTAGCATTGTACCACCCCCTTATTTTTCACGACCAATGGATCTATAACTTTGATGATTAGGAAGAGGCGGAGAAGATTCTCCGTTCAAATCGACTATCATCGCTGGTCCAGTGCGAGACGTGTATTTGGAAACATTCTCGTAGTTTGATGCAACATCTTCATTATAATAATTTGAAATCATAAAATTATGTAGATATATACAATATGTAGAGTAATTCTGGGTTTGCAGGCTAGTCTTATATTTTATAAGTATTATATTATTATTATAGATATAACATGATATTCATATATTTCAAATGGCAGGTAAGATTAATTATTAACAAAATTCATAAATAATATTTGTTTTCAAATTATTTTCAATTAAGAAAATAGATAAGTTATTTTTAATATAGAAATTCAATATCCTCAAAAATGTCTTTATCTCATGTTCTTTAAATCATAATTGATTAAAAATTAATCAAGAAATAATGACTTTTTCTGTGAATATAGTGCATTAATATATTATTTAAAGGTTATGTTTATAATCGTGCGTTGAAATATTGTTGTACCATTATTAAGAAGAAACTCTCTCGAGATAAAATGGCTCGATGTTTTTCAAGCATAGTTGGTCCATCATAAAAATATACATTTTTACGTTTTTACGATATAAACCCGGCTGCTTACGTGCTAATAACGAAGGTCCATTATGTGCTTTCTTAAATGAAAAACAACAACCAGAACAAAATGTATCTTATGTAACAGATTAAAAGATTAAAAGAATAAAAGAACGAAAGAGTAAAAGATTAAAAGAATATAAGAAAACAGATTCTGTCTCACCCGGTTGTTAATGTTGCAAGCAATTAATAAAAGGAATCTCGTGACAGGCAAGCCAGATACAGTGCTAAATAAAATTAATCTAATCCCTTATACGTCATTAGTTCAATGAATTAAAAAATGTAGATGTTAAAGTAATAAAACCTACTTTTAAGAAATCAAATAAACCAAAACGTAAATGTCTCTCTTACGGATGAATTCATCTTCGGATGAAAATTTTTCAGTTTTTGTAGTTCAAGAGTCTAAAGAAAGTTTTAAAGAAAAAGATAGTACAGCTGTACATCGAAACAAAATGATTGGATTCGATATGCGAGGTGCAATTTATGAATGGATGTTTAACATCTTTGGATTTATGTGATCTTTATAGAGAAGTTTCATACGAGCAAAAGAAATCATTTTTCTTGAAATATGGATCGTCTCATCTGGACAGTATGAATCGTGTGGGAAATAATTCTACTTTTCTTTTTTTACGAAAATCTACAATTTTTTTTAGTTTTATTTCGATATTATAATTTCTCAAGTATTGAACATCGATTAAATTGACAATGTATTGAAGTTTTAAAAAAACTTTTTATATGAATATATATGTTAAATATATAAAATATATATTATATAAATATATAATATATATATACTACTATATATAATTATATCTATAGATAAATGCATATATATATATATATATATATATATATATATATAATTATATTATATTCTTTATATATGCATTTAATTATATATTTATACATATGTATTTTATTTATATAGTATTTTATCGTCGATTCATTTGTGTGCGTCCCTTATAAAATACGATTTTTCGTTATGATATCATTTTTATACGACGCGTTAATGCAAATTTGTAGGGGTAGTTAATGTAAAGTTGTAGTCGAGTTATTGGACTTTCTCGATCGAGTTGATAATGAATGAAATATTCAAGTCCCGTTACCGTTCGCTAAAAAAATTTTATCCTCGAGCGATCGACGCGTATACGACATCTACTGCATGCATTGTCGCTTCGGATGTAGTTTACGACACATTTCATCCTCCGGAATTATGATTATGATTCAAAACGCGCACGCGCGTGTAACAGAGAAAAAGAAAGAGAGAGAAAGAGTAGGAGGAAGAGGAAAACCACATAGATAGATTGAAGATTCTTCGAGTCCTTCCAAAAGTTTCAGAGGACTGTCAAAGATATATCAAGGGCCAGTGGGAAACTTTCGTTTCACGGAAGTCTCGTAAAATGTTTCGAGTTATTTCAAGTTTACGATCCTAGATTTGAAAAATCCCTTGAGTGTT